ATATAAGCAACTTCCTTTACAGGTTATAGTATATAAGAGGATATAAATAGAAGAGTTAAACTATATACAATAAATTCATATTAGATCCAATAATTTTAAAAAGAAATATATATATATATTCTTCAGTGCCATAAATTCAACTTTAACTTTCTCACCCAACCACTCACTTATAAGTTACTCTAAATTCCAATTAAATGCATATCATGAAAATGGTCCTTCTCTTTTTATAAGTCTACCCATGGCTTGTAATAAATTTATTCACAAATCTACTCCAATCTTACTTTATTATTTAATCACTTTGACACAATCTCAATTCAATGCTGCCCCCTCTTCTGCCTCGTTCAATTAATTCATATATTTTATAATATCATGTTTGGAGAAAACCCATTAAATAAATTAAGAAGAAAATGTGTGAATCTTCTAGCAATCAGGAGGAGATTCCCCTTTATTTTATTAAATTAAATTAAAATGGAAAGAGAAAGAGAAACATGGAGGGCAAGTAATATGAAAATAATGCAGCAAAATAAATTGTGCACAAAATCATCTCATGCTTTAAGTTAAGTGTGCTTTCATATATGAAAATTGTACGTGATATTAATTATTTAATGAATAAAGCTATGCTTCATATGACATGATTAATGATGTGTCACTACCGCATTAGTTATAAATTATATTTGAATAATCTTTTGCTATAAATATTATTTGTATATTATGTTAAGAATATTCTAAGTCATTAAAAAAACATTATTTTACCATCAAAGTAGGCTCAGATAAGAAAGGAATTCATTCAATCTCGATGAACTCTCAGGTTCAAGTGTCTGTCCCATTGACCTTTGAAGAGATAGTATATTTATGTTTATATGCCCACTCACATACCTTAGTTTCGATGCCGGCATAGATGCAATGGAGTTATCTTTAGATGTATGTGTGGAGGAAGGGTGGGAATGGCCCAATATTCTCTGTCGATAAAAGGGTCAACCCTTCTCCATACTCCTTTTTTTTTGGCAAAAAAAATAATTCAATATGAAGAATAGTAGTAAGCAAAATCCTAGGGAGTATATTGATTCAATATAATAATACGAAATACAGCTTTCAAATGAATGCAACGACGTTGTTAGTGAAATCTAAGTGGGATTGGGATTCATTAAAAGCAAAGTTGAAACTAAGTTGAAAATGGGTCCTCAAATTGAAGAGGAAAAAGAAGTTTGCGGCTAAGATTAGATATGAAATTCAAAGTTTGAGGTTTGAAAATGTTGTTTTGCCCTTGTCTCCTACTAAAAGATTGAAGCTCATAGTTAGAAGAGACAAAAGGCTATTCCTTGTTCACATAAATAAACCTTAGAGGAGACAAATCCTTAAATTGTAGAAATCAAAATAAATTAGATGGCAATGTGAGCGTGAAACATATCACTACCAATTGCCTATATTTATGTTGACAACACTATGCTTGTGTCTCCTATTTTGTATAGTTTTTGAATAAGACATTATTCAATCCTTCGATTCAAGAATAAATAATAAAATTATTTAATTGCTTCTGAAACAGCAGCTATCAAGTGTTTTACAAAAAGGAAAAAATATATATATTACTTAATAAAAAATTAATTATATCTTATAGGCAAGGCAGCAGCCTCCTGGGAATTATAAAATGTGTTTGCCTTTGTTAAACCTTAAACACAGCAAACTCACATAATTAATTGAACCCAACTGCCCAATTCAAATCAAAATTGTTTGTTTAATTTGGATTGGGTGGTGTGGCATTCAAGATGCTAGCTGGCTCGATGGTGATGAACAAATTAAATTAAATTCAGAGGCAGCCTCTCCAAATGTCATCGATACAAGTCTCAACCAATTACTATTTACTACATTATTTAATTAAAGTCAATCTTCATATTACTACTTAAACGACAATATCTGTAATTATGTTACGGGGTTTCTCCAAAACCCACCAAAATCGCTTTTAGTAAATCAACATTATCTCCCTAAACACTGTTTCCCTAATGGTTTAAAAGGTAGAAACTAAAGTTTAAATATAATAAAGATTGGTTCACAGCTCAATCCTACAAACTTTTTCTCATAACTTAGATATGACAGTTCTCAATTGAACAAACGATATCTATTATTAAGCAGATATGACATATAACGAAATGACTAATTACAAATTATTACGTTAAAGTTTTAAGAAAATATTTATGAGATTGAGTTGTAAGTATAATATTAATCTTTTAAATAAAGTTTTAATATCTTTCTGTTGACCGATTGTCAATTTTGGAAAAACAATTAATTATTTTGGCATTGTTATAATTTTTAAATCTTAAATGTAAAAATGGTCGATTTTTCAATCAACACTATAAGCTTTTTATTGAAAATTAGAGAGATAAATTTTTTTCTTTTTTTCACTGAACCTCAAAGGTCATAATTAATTAAAAAGATGTTATATTATATGATTGATGTTACATGAACATCGATGTATATGATCTAATCAACCTTTAAACTATAATCTAAAAGTTTGGATAAATATAATATTATCTTCCATATCGTGGTTTACACTTGATCCTTAAAACAATTATTTATAATATTAAAAAGTTTTTTAATCGATAAATTAATACAATGTAAAGAGTCTTAATTAGAAAAAGAGAAATGGGATTCAAATTTAGAAAACGTAGGATGAGTCGTCATGTAGACATAGAATGAGACGGAGTAAGACGAAACCATTAACTATTGTATTTGTTTGTTGTTAAAAACGGGACAAGTGTCGAAAAAACATAGCATCCAAACAAGGCGTAACTTTTGTGGGTCCCAAAGATTTAGGGTTTAGGTTTGACCTTGTCTGAAATGTATTACAAGACCAGGCTGCACGATTGGGACCATCTCGACGCGTTGTCTTTCTGATTCTGTTTGTGATTCCCATTACCTCTTTCTTTCTTTTCTTTTCTTTTTCACTTTTTCCCCTTTTACTTTACTGTATTATAATTTTCATCTCCTTTACTTTTAACATTTTGCATTTATAACCCTTTCTAGAACACCATTTTCTTATTTATTTATATATAGGGCTATTAATTGGAGGACACTTATTTTAAAAATTAGCAAAAGTAATGCAAATTCCATTTGTATTAATAAACGAATATTTTATTACACTTTTTATCAATAAACGAATACTTATTTAGAGAAATATTTTAAAAAGTATTCATTGTATGATAAAAAAAAAAAATTATTTATTGATACAAATAAAACTTCTCTCTCTCCCTCTCTCTCTCTATCTATCTATATATATATGTGTGTGTGTGTGTTTTTTTTTTTTCTTTCTTCCTTTCAACTCTTCAAATTACTAATGTTAAAAACATTTTTATTAGTTTGTTTTTATAATAATATTTCAAATTAATATACAAAAAGCATTCTTAAGCATTAAAGATATATACATTAATTTATTTATTTTTATTTGAAAAAGTTTAAAAAAAAAAATATAGAACATTAAGAATGAACATTGAGTTGTTGCTTGATTTGTATATGCCTCTAGAAAGTAATAAATGATTTTAACAAATTTTTTAAATAAGTTTTTACATTTATTGAATCATTTTGGTTGATTATGTGAATTCTTTTTACAATATTTCTCTTTATTAAGAATTAGATATTTAGATCTTTAAAAAAGTCTTATAATGCTATAAATTCTCATCAAACCACTTTTTTTCTTTTCCAAAAATCAAAAACTTCTTCCTTTTTATGATTCTTGTACTACATTTTTGTAAGAACTAGAATAATAAAGGAAAAATAACTTTGACAATTTCTTGCAAATTTATTTATTAATTGTTGATAAGAATAAATCCAATATTACATTTTAACAATATTATCTATAAAAAAAAAGTAAGAAAAGAATAATTTTATGTTTTTTCTTAAAATTTGCAAGTGGTGACTCATTACTTTTTCTTTTTAAGTTTAATACTAGAAATTAAGAAATAAATTTAGTGTTTTTCAAAGAGTTAAAAAAAAAATAGACTTTTTGAAGTATGATATAAGAACAAAAATTCTTCTGAAATTATGCAATAACACTAATTAATATGCTATTAATGAACTGTTAGTAAATCATTAAAATTTATATTGTTATGAAATAGCAAATATTACCAAATTATCCTATTATTATTTTTTTTTAATTTTCAAAACCTCAAGAAGATTAATGTCATTATACATTATGAAAAAATCATTTTAAATGTTTCCTACAACAAAATTGTGAAAAAATAGAATGAAGCAAGTGAAATTATAAGAAAATATAAGGACAAATATGCAAAGTTATGTTTAGATAAGAATGATTAATTAAGACAATTGATAAAGTAATACTAAAATTAGCGGCATTTGGTTATCGGGTTCGGTTGGGACACTAAAAATGGGAGTCACATCATCCAATAATTCTCTTCTTCTCCCAACTGTTTGGTCTGCTAGTCATTTTAGGAGCCAAATCAGGAAACTAAGAAAATTGTTTTGTTGAATCACAACCAAGCAAACCAAAAAAACATTTCCCAGAAACCGAAAAGAAAAAAAAAAAGAGTCAGTGATTGGTATCAAACTCTCCTTTTGGCTTTTGCTTTCTCTATCAATCTATCAGCTTTTCATTTATTTTTCTTTTTCTTTTTTATTTGTTTGAATATTGAAAAATACCCATTTCTCAAAAGTTCCCTAGAATCACAACAAATCATTAAAAAACACTTCTTTTTTATTTTCTGTACCCCCTCCATTGTTTCCTCTTATGAGTTTGTTAAAGTAATGCCATTGATGTTATAGACTTATAGTAGAAAGAAGAAAGTTTTGTTTTTGTTTTTGGTTATGGTTTTGTTTCTGTTTTCATGCTACTGGGATTGTAACAAAAATGCTTTTTTTTTTTTTTTTTTTTTAAGTTTTTGAAAACATGCATTGGAACATTGGAGGAACAAGAAAGAGAGAGGGGTTAAAAATTTAATCTTGATGTGGGTAGTATTAATGAGAGGAATGAGAGAGAGAGAGAGAGAGTTGTGTTACTGTTGAGAAAGAGAGAATGAGCAGAGAACAAGCAGGCGTTGCAAAGGCCTGGGAAACCACAGTACGAAAAACACAAGCAGCTGCAAAGAAAAAAAACAATACATTCTTTGGTACAATGTCTGTGGCTCATGCTGATGATGATGAATATGGTCCAGGTGAAATTTATCACGCAGAGAGAGTTCTTGCCAATGGTGACTTTTACACAGGCAAATGGGCTGATAATCTTCCCCATGGTTATGGTAAGTATCTTTGGACAGATGGTTGCATGTATGTAGGTGAATGGTATAGAGGTAAAACCATGGGAAAAGGCAAATTTAGTTGGCCCTCAGGTGCCACATACGAGGGTGAATTCAAAGGTGGGTATATGGATGGTAAAGGGACTTATACAAGTTCTTTAGGGGATACTTATAGAGGTTATTGGGTTATGAACTTGAAACATGGACAAGGGACTAAGAGTTTTGCCAATGGGGATTATTATGATGGAGAATGGAAAAGAGGGTTGCAAGATGGTCATGGAAGGTATCAATGGAAGAATGGGAATCATTACATTGGTCAATGGAAGAATGGGAGTATTAATGGTAATGGAACCATGATTTGGAGTAGTGGAAATAGGTATGATGGTTTTTGGGAAGATGGTTTGCCTAAAGGAAATGGAACTTTTAGATGGGTTGATGGGAGTTTTTATGTTGGTGTTTGGAGTAGAGATCCTAAAGATCAAAGTGGAACTTATTATCCATCAGGTTCTCCAACTGGGAATTTAGATTGGGATCCTCAACAAGTATTTTTGGTGGATTTGAAAGATTGTAAGATTTGTCCAGGAGAGAAAGTTTCAATCTTGCCATCACAAAAGATGACTTATTGGCCTGGCATTGCAGGGGAAGTTAATACCAATAATAGTCAAGTGCCTTTTAAGAAATGGAATGATCTTGGCAGGCTTAGGAGGACTTCAGTTGATGGAAGGACTAGCAACTATGGTAGCGAAAACGATGGCAGTAACCGTGGTTGTGGTGTTAGTGATGTGGATTTTAGGGATGGTGATGAGGGTTTGGAAAATCTTTACCTTGAGGAATCAGATTCAAGGGGTAGGGTGTTGTTGAAATTATATCCTACAAAGAAGCAGGGGGAGACAATATCTAAAGGGCATAAGAACTATGAGCTCATGCTAAATTTGCAGTTAGGGATCAGGTATAAGCAGTTTGTGTTTGTTTGCTAAATTTTGCCTGCTCTAATTATTATGTTCCAGGTCTGATTTTTTTTTTTTCAACATGTGTTTGACCAATGTTCTGATAGAAGAGTTTCTTGATAAAATATGTTTGCTTTATATCTATCTAGCATAATGGATTTTGGTATGTTGTTTTAAATTAGTGTTCATCAGTTTGATCATGTTTAGAATTGAGTGAAATTTTGAGTCTTTTCAATATTTCGAATGATTTTCTTGCTGCTTTGGAGGTCTACTATTTGTTTTCTGTTATTCCGCTGCAAAATATATATTCAGATCTTTAATTCCCTTTTGAAACAGTTTGTAGTCAAGTTTTTTTGTAGTAAATCTATGTGCCTCAATTTGAAGAAATGTGCAGCAGCCATGAACAGTAAAGTTAGAAGAAAGTCTTCCTTTAGCTGAAAATTGTTGCAGTTTTTAGTTGATGACAAAACCAAACAATTATGAACTCTTTGTTTCCTATAAATGAATCAGTTGGGTCTCGGTTTTTGAAATTGGTCACAATTTCCGAAAACACCATTCGAGTTTAAATATGCTGTCACTAGATGCCTCTCTACATCTTTGTCACAATTAGTTGACTTTTCTTGCCGTGGCACAGACACTCTGTTGGGAGACCTGCTCCAGCTACATCTCTTGATCTCAAGGCTTCAGCTTTTGATCCGAAGGAGAAAGTATGGACAAAATTTCCACCAGAAGGATCAAAGCACACTCCTCCCCATCAATCTTGTGATTTCAGATGGAAGGATTACTGTCCAGTGGTTTTTAGGTATGGACATCATGCATATGTCTTTTACAATGAATTGTCCTCCATTTTGAAAACATTCAAGTCTTAATTGTTTTGCATAAGGCTGTCTTCACTTAAGTGGAATACATTCATATTGTATGGTCCATTATTTCCATAACCATATAAAACCATAATGACACATTTACCTTCTATTATGATTGCTGGTGTTTGAGACTTCTTGGTAGAACCTAACAGTTTTTTATATATTTATTTTCAGGACTCTCAGGAAATTGTTCAATGTGGATGCAGCTGACTACATGATATCTATATGTGGAAACGATGCCCTTCGGGAGCTTTCATCCCCTGGAAAAAGTGGAAGCTTCTTTTACTTAACAAATGATGACAAATACATGATAAAGACCATGAAGAAGGCAGAAGTTAAAGTAAATTCCCGTCTTCATTTTGTTTAATTCGGTTTTTCTGTTTTGTGTTTTTGTTGCTATTGTTGTGTTCAATGATTTCAATTTGAATCTGAGACTGGCTACTGAGTTTTGTAACTCACTTTAATTTGAGTCCCATTAAAAGCTTTATGACTACATTTTCCAAGTCCTATGTACTTTACAAAGGATACCTGACTCCATACTTCTTTTTCCTGAGGTTATTACCATGTTCTGCCATTGCCGTTCTCTGCTAAACACTTTCATGATATTTGTGAAGCACTACCAGAATTGATTTTTCATTATTGTTATTATTTATTATGATTTCATTTTCGGTGTGTTGACTGATATAGAAAATTTGATTGGCCAACATATTTTAGGTTCTTATAAGGATGCTACCAGCCTACTACAATCATGTTCGGGCCTTTGAGAACACTCTAGTCACCAAATTTTATGGCCTGCATTGTGTGAGATTAACAGGGTCTGCACAGAAGAAGGTACAGTGATGAAATCAGAGCCTTAAATTCAAGATTTAAAGATTCTGATATCTCATGAACTTTTGTTAAATCATTTACATTTCACACTTCACTCAATTTTGGGATTCATGCGCCAGGTACGATTTGTCATTATGGGGAATCTATTTTGTTCTGAGTATGCCATCCATAGGCGCTTCGACTTGAAAGGTTCTTCTCATGGTCGGACAACTGCTAAACCTGAGTCATCAATCGATCCAACGACAACACTTAAAGATCTAGATCTCAATTTTATATTTCGATTACAAAAAGTTTGGTTCCAAGAGTTTTGCAGGTGAAGCACATTCCTATATATATTCTTTCTTTCTTTCCTTTGGATTGAAGTGTTATTACTTCTCTAGAAAATTCATATTCTATAATTAGACCCAATTTAGCCTGGATATGATTGCAGGGGAGTGTAGAAAATTTTCCTCTTTCATCTAAGGTGCTGTACTACTTGCATATAAAATTTGTAAAATGGGAATTCTAGAAGATAGTGTCAGATTGTTGTAGGTATTTGAAAGCAATTTCTGTTGTACACATTCAAAAGAGATAAGTATTCATCCTAATAATGCCTAGCTAGTGTTTCGGAAAATCAGTTCAATGATCCTCATATTTGTCATATGTATACTTTTTCCCCTAGTTCTTGTGAAAATCAAGTTAAAGGTCAAAAAAATTTATAGCAAACTGTGACTTGACAATTACATGAGTTGTTGAAGCTGAAATACATCTAACATTTCAAATCAACACTTATGATGATGATAATTGTTTCAGTGTTCTCAATATGGTGCCTAACTAGTAATTTTTATGTCTCTATCTTAAATGACTCTTCAACATTGAATGTGGTTCTTTCATTATTAAGCTGGTCTCCCTTTGTGCAGGCAAGTGGACAGGGACTGTGACTTTCTTGAACAAGAGAGAATTATGGATTACAGTCTTTTGGTTGGTCTTCACTTTCGAGAAGCTATTTCATATAGGGATACTCACACTCCTCGCACTTCTGGAGTCCACACTCCTAAAGGTTATTTCAAGTCCCATCCAGAAATGCATTTTCCACTTAAACATCAGTCACTGCTGAAAATATTCACATCTCTTTTGAATTTATTTCGTAGGATATGCAGAGGATAATGAACCAGGAGCCCCTCGCCTTTCAAGAGTAGACATGGATCAGCTTCTTTTCGACCCAACTCGGTAAACAAATTAATGACATCCACCTAAAACTTCTCATTGTCTTGGAAAACTAGTGATGCCTCATTTCATTTTCTCATTAGTAATCCAAATTTGCCCTGCACATTTCTCAAGTCTATGAGTCAAAGATAAACAAGAATTAGAAATAGTTCTCTATTTACAGAATGATGCCTCAAACGATGCATTGTTACTCCTTAAATCTAATATCAACTCTTTATTTTAACTTTCACTGACTTAAAGTTACTTTCTTTAGAGTGCTCAGTAACAGTGTTAGACACTTGTTAATCTAAGCTTTTACCTCATGTGGTTATTTAACAACTTAGCTTTCTAACCTCATCAAACTACTAATTCAACGTTCAAGTAGTCTTTATGTATCATGAATTTCAAATAGTCGCCATGTTTACTGGAATTGCTCGGTAGTACTAATGTAGATTTTCAGCTCTAAGGTCTAGCTTTCCTCATAATTTTCTTATTGCATGATGCAGTTGGGCTTCCATAAAGCTTGGTGTAAACATGCCCGCACGAGTTGAACAAACAGTGAGAAGAAGTGACTGTGAAACTCAGCTGATTGGAGAACCAACTGGTGAATTTTACGATGTCATTCTCTTTTTCGGTATAATTGACATACTACAAGACTACGATATTAGCAAGAAGCTAGAGCATGCATATAAATCAATGCACTATGATCCAACTTCAATCTCAGCAGTTGATCCAAGGCAATACTCAAAACGCTTTCGGGATTTCATTTTCAGAGCATTTGTAGAAGACACTTGAAAAGATATAGGGTTGACACAGATCTTCAACTCGCAGCCAGTAGCCATTCATGTATAGTCGTTTTTTCTTCATAATCCTTATACAGATGAGAGTTAAGTTACCGACGATAGGTATACATTTCAGTTTTTGACATGGCCACGAAGGATGATTTATGGCTGCCGGAAATACAAGCTTTTGTCACACATACTAGCAGTTTCTCTCACTCTTAGTCACACTGGCAAAGTATATGATATGTTTTAGTAAAGGTATAGAAAAATGTCAGAACCAGAGCTACCGAAACCTGTTTTGATTGTAAAATTGATTATTAACAAAGTGGTGAACGTGTAGCCTCACTGATTCTTTTTGTACGTAATTTTTTTTCCCAGAAGGTCAGGTGTCTTTGGGGTTGACAAAAAGACAAAAAAAAAAAAAAAAAAAAACAAATGTACAGAAGGATGATCATACTGGAACTAGCCTTTAGTTTACTTATTTGTCTCAAATGAAATTCTTTGTGATACAAGCCTTGTTTCTGTCTATTCTTGGTGCATAATTCTTGTGATACAACTTAATCTCTCACACTTCCAATCTAAGATCTATCCTTGTGTTCATGTTTGCACAACTGAAGGATTGAAATAAAGGTATGAGTGGATCATTAGTCACATTGGGACCAATGTTTTAAAATCCAACTCGGGGTAAAACTTGGCAAAGTTGCTAGGTCCCAGGTTGACCGATTTGACTGGCCGATTAAACAGTGTGACCAAACTTTTAAAATTTAGCAAATACACCCCTGAAATTACATTAATTCCCTATAGATTTGAAATTTAGCAACACACCCCAAATACAAATCGGCCAACGACTGGTTGGTGGTGACAACAACACCCCAAATGCAATCTCAATCGTCCTTAAACCCATTCCCCTAAAAATATACCCAAGATCTAGCAAAAATCGGTTCGATTTCGGCCAGATATCACCGACATCGACGTCGACATTCCAAGCTAGATCTTACTAATGCTACCGTCGAAAACCCTCCCCATCACCCCGAAAATACTCCCCTTTTCCTCTCAACCAAAACCCATCTTACTCCACCCCCGTTAGCCTCGCCAATCGCTGGCAAAAGCTGGCTATTGCCGTCGCCAGTTTTTTTTCGATTTTCGGTCGATTTACTCATCGGAAATCAACTCAGTCGCCACCATTACACTCACTAGCACTTTCTCTTCAAAAGCCCTAACATCCCGGCCTTCAATTGTTTACCAATCATTATCCCAAATTTTAGGGTTTTAGGTGAATAAGAAAAATGTAAACCCAGTCCAATGAAGTTTCTGGGTCCGGATTAAACCGGTTGGATCGGGCCAGGTTTTAAAATAGTGATTGGGACTGAGACACAACCCAGATTCTTACAGAAGGCAGCAGTGGGAAATTTTTTGCGATGGGTGAAAAGCCTGACAGAGAGTCTTCAGGTTGGGATCCAATTCTCTTTTATAATTTATCAGTAATATTCCATGTTCAGAAATATAATAGATATATGTTTACTGCTCTTTGATCTTTTCATGGATCATATGACAATAAAATAGATGCCCCAAGTCCAAATCATTCAGCCGTGAAGAGTTGGTTGATCTATTTACGCAGTGGCGAACTAGAAAATTATGATCGGGAGGTCAGAGTGTGAAATTTAATGAATAAGGAATCTAAAGTTGTATAATCTTTCGAATCCCCACAACTACTAACCACTAAAAGCTTACTTGGCCGTTAATTTCAGGACCCTGAGAGAAAAGTCGAGGTGCGTGCAAGTTAACTTAAATACCCTCGGATATCCCAAAAAAAAAGTTTTATAATTTTCTTTAAGAAATTGCATTTAAGGAGGTTAAAATGAAAGTTTCAGGAACAACTGGAGCCGTTGCTAAAAAGATTTTTTTAGATGTTGAAATTGCAATATTCATATATAGAATTTCAAAATTTTTGTAAACTAGGGTGGCCTCCCCAAGCAGCAGCCGCAATCCACCGGGTGAAGTTTTGGACTATGATTCAAAGGTTTAGAGAGGATTATGTTACGATCTAGTAGGATTAGGGGCGGTGGGGCACAATGTTATTGATCTAAAGGTTAGATTTCATCCCCTCAGCATAGATTAGATCTTATTATAGTCCAAGCTTCTATAGTTTATATAACAATTGCACATTGAGTTTATAATTTAAAGTGGATCCATTGTCACCTGAACCTCACTAATTAACTATAAAAGTCCCATTTTTTAATATATTTTATAATAACAAATTTATCCATATATTAAATTAATTAAATTAATTTTATTATTCTAATTCTTTTACCAGCAATTTCAACACTCTACTATTATCTCATAAAGTCTATTTTTTTTTTTTATTATTCAAATCATTCTTAGAACAAAAATATTACGCAATACAAATTTATAAGTTTTTAATTGCTCCACATATAAATTTATTGTTAATTTTTTATTTAAAGTCTTGGTAACTATTTTGACCTATATCTTTTTGTGTTGTTTAATTATATTATATTCTTGGAATTATTTGTTAAAAAAAAAAAAATTAGCTCTAATTTTTTTCTTTTTAAACTTTCAATTTAATCATCTAAAATTTTATTTTAAGGATAGCAAAAGTGGAGAGTATATAGTATAAGTAAATGAAATGAAATGTTAACTCTTTTGATATATAAGAAAATAGAATGAAGGGCATTTATGGAATTTATGGGGTACCACAATAAAAAAAAATAAAAATTTAAACTTTGATTATAGGGGTGTTAAAAAAACCCGGAAAGCCAAAACCGAACCAAAAAAATCAGGTGCCCAAAAATTTGATACGGGTTTGGGTTATTGTGAGAAGGAACCCAGATTTTTTGTTTGGATACCGGTTTAACTGTGCATAAAACTGATTACCCGAACCAATCCGTTTTTCTTCCAAAAATTAAAATTGATGGGTGCATTTGTTTCGGTATTTTACTAATATTTCGAATCTGATTTTGAAAATATGCGTTTGTTTTATTAGTCAGGATTTGATTCCTAACTCAAATAGCCGTTTCGATTTAGGCGGCACCTACAGTTTTTTCTCTCTCTTTTTTCTTTTTCTTTTTTTCCTTATTTCTTCAGTTTTTTCTACTTCTTCGTATACCACAACAGCTTCCACCTTCTTCTTCAAAAATCAGAACCAGCGACCGCCACCCTCTTCCACGTTTCTTCTTCAAAATTACAACAGAAACCGCCACCCTCTTGCATGTTACAACCTCCCTAACACCCTCTTCCACCTGCATTCAAAAACACCACCCAACTGAGGACTCAAGAAACACCATCCAACTGAGGACTCAAGAAACACCACCATCTTCCGGTTTCCTTCGACAAACCGAGGCCAGCAGGTACGACCATGATCGCCGGCCACCATTTTTGAGTTCTTCGAACCACCGTCGGCCACCTCCTCCAAGCCTAGGCCACCAGTTTTGAGCGCCACCACGGGCGCCTCGAACTCGAGATCCGCCAGCATCGTCAGTTCCCTCATCCAACCCAAGCCCACCATCTTCTTTAACCACCGCTGGCGCACCTTTTCCAGTGAAGTTCACCTACCTTCAGCCACCCTCCTCCAACCTAAGGCCACCATCTTCTGATTGCCACCACCGGTGCACTTTCAAAATCCGTTAACCTATCATCAACCACCCTCCTCCAACCTGAGGCCACCAACTTCTGGTTGCCACCATCGGTGCACCTTTTCCAGTTAAGTTCACCCACCGTCGACCACCCACCTGTACACCCACCTCCAACCAAAAGCCAACAAAGTATTATTGACGAAATTGTGCATGTGCGGGATAACATAATGTCATAGTTGTTAATAGAGTATAGTTGTATAAACAATCCTAAGGGTTGACAATCAACATTGAAATATGGGAAGAAGATATAACCAATGTCATATTGTTAATAGAGTATATCTGTATAAACGATTCTAAGGGTTGGCAATCAACAACTTCACCAAAGATGTATTAATGTGGTGTGTTTAAATTATGTATTAGTATTTGGAATTAATAGTTCCAAATTTTTTTTAAAGTTAGTGATTATGAAATTAACAATCAAATATTTAATAATATTAAAACGTTAATTGATAAGTTTTTAAGGCTATAATAGTAAATTAATTTAACAAAAAGCAACAAAGAATTCTATCAGTAAATCATTTATAAAAAAATATATCAAACAATTTTTTTACCATTTATTCAACTCTAATATACTATTCTAAATATTTTATCAAACATTAAATCATATTCCCGTAATAATAACCAAACTAAATACTCTACCAAACATATTTTCTTCAAATCATATTTTCAAAATAATAACCCAACTCAATTTTACAATAATATTTCAAAAATAATACCCAAAATAATTAAACAAATGCAGCAGATATCAATTTTGTTTTTTCCTTCGAATTAGTTTACGAATCCTAACCTAGTTATCAACTTCTCTAAGTTCTCTTCTGAAATTATATGAATATCTGATCCTCTCACTTCTCAACATCATCATCAAAACCAATAGAAATTATCTAAAACCTAAATTGGAAATTTAAAATCTGCTCCTCAACATCAAAAACACTACTGCTGCACCGTCACTCATCACTGCATCTACGCACCAAAAACACCATGATAATTTCTTATCCATAGTTCACACAACCTACCACAACACACCCATATTTACACCAACCATCACAAGAAGATAAACCCAAAAAATTAAACCACTCTAAGCCACTATAATGTTCGAGTCCCTTCATGCAACCGTTGCGACGGTGGACTACGCAATCGCTGCTACCGCCACGCCACGCACAAGACAAGGCAGTGGTTGCTGCCACTTCGTTGGCGGTTGTGCCCAATAGCCTCAGTTCATAATTGGGTTATGCTTATGAACTCTTTTATTTTATTTTTTCAATTGAGGGCGGATCTATATATAAAGGTGGATTTAGAGTTGGTTATTAGATGGGTGAAGAGCCGGGTGTTTGTGTTAGTGTATACCCTAGGAACCAATCGTGTCGTCGGTTCCAAAATATTATATTTTGTATATATATATTAATGTATATATTTTGTATATACATTTTTATCTTATCAATAGAAGAAAGTGTTCTTATTTCACATGTGGTTTATTACTTCATTTATATATATGTATTACATGTGAAATGTCTGGATAATACAAATCTTTAGAATATCAAAATCATCGAAGTATTCCCTACATAGATAATATTAATTGGGCAATAATATTATATAGTAGGCATGCTAAATACCTCCGCAGAATATTATATGATGGTATTAGTGTGGGTGATTAGAAAAGTTATATCACTAGGACATTAGCATGGATAAGCGGTTAGTGAACTGTTTATCGAATATGAC